TTACGCTATACACGTGACATCATTCTGGTTGTATTGTTTGACCAGTATGCTGCCTCGCCTCAGGCTCCAATCTCATTCCTCGAGTCTTCGTTCTTTAACGAATACGAGCGACTCTCGAGAGTCCAGTTACAGACTCGATTTTGATAGGTTAATTTTAAAAACAATGGAAATGAGTGAAAATAAAACACCAGCGTCTCGATTGAACCGCGTGTTTTTGTCATCTAGTCATGCGAAATTCAACCGGAAGTCCTACATTTTCGGACTTCAATTCGGATGTTTCCAGGGTCGCTCGTTTTCCGTCCGCAGGTCAAGATGAACGAAGACTCAGGATGCGAGGTTATCTCAGGCCCAACCTAAAACAGATCCAGCCGCCTTGGTTTAGCCCTTTGTGGCGCACAAGGAGACGGAGAACTCTTAGCGTGGAGTTAACTTGTAATGCACAGAAATAGCACAGCTTGTAAAATCTGGATGACATCAATGTACGATTAGAATTTTATAAATGCTTCGCCTGGTTTTTACTGCATTAGACGACATCGTCATTCTTCTAGATAGAGTTTGGCCATTGACGATGTTAACATTGTGTAGAAGCATGCCTTTGTTAAATATTTCAATTTCGCTGTACGTCGCCGAGTGCATAGCAATAGTCACAGTGATTGCAATATTGTTTAGAAACTCTTCAGAAAATAAGAATTTTTTACCAGGGAAATCAAAGCTCTCTGCATAGATAAAGCCAAACTAGGGTCTCAAGTCTTTTTGTAACAGATAGAACTGGTTAAACAGTTATCTTCAATGTAACATGTATGCATGTACAGACAGACAAGAAGCTTTTGCCAAATAAATTTCGCGTAAACCGCTTGGACGATGTCGACATTTTTCTTCAACTAAACTCAGTACAGTCACCTGTGTCTACTTTGTCCGGAGTTATCTGAAAATTAAATCTCCTTTTTGGATGCTTTACATTTTTCAGTTCTAAACATTTAACAGTACACCAAGACAGAGGCAGTGGTTACAAGTAGGTATCTGATAGTTACAGTGTCGCGTTAGGAAACTCTTATTCGTTTTCTTCGCGCCAAGTCGGACTCTGTCAGTTATTTTTAAAGAAATAACATTTACAGCTAGAATTTCAGACCAGACTGAAAATGCGCATATAAAACCGAGGGACGAGAAAGTGCGCCACGCTATCAGGCATTTTAGTACAATTCTACAGGTATACCAATGCAAAAGCTGCAATCTGATTGGCTGAACTATTGCACACCTTCGGCCATTAATTTGACGTTTTCTCGTTTCTCCGGTGTATTAGAGGAAGTGTTTGAAATATTGCAGAATCGTTCAACACTGGCCCCAAGAGTGCTAGAGAAAGGAAACTAATATTAGAACAAAATTGAATAGTTCGCTGAACTGAGGAACGCGTGTAAACAGCTTCCAGTCCACTGTAAGAAAAAAGATGGCGACTGGTACATTTACCCATAGTTCTTAGCACACGAAAACTTAAACAACGCTCATAAAAACTTACGGAAAAGTTCCCATATTCTCAAATCCAGCATACACCATGTCGTAAGAACAGGGACAAATATTGCAAAAATATGGCTTTCCTTGTACTCTATGAACTGTGTAAGGCTCGCATGGTATTGTGATAAAATGTAGGGCCGCCATGTTTTTTGTCCAGCGGGGCCTGATTGCAAACAGAACACAACAATTCAACCCGCGCGCGATTTTGCTAAAGTATGAAGTTTAATACTATCCAATAAGTAGAGATTTGTAATTGAAAATTGTTATTTGAAGGAAATTTGGTTAGAATTGTACTTAAACAAGCATATCAGATTATTTTCTCTCGATTCCTATGAGGGGAAAGTTGATTCTGTTAAGTAAATAAGGCACGTTTGGGAAAGTACTGCGTTTTACGACAGAATCACTGATCTGAGGAATGTAGCGTGTAACATTGACTACTGACATTGATTCATAGTTCAATATTACACGCGACAATCCTTGGATAATAACAGTTACAATATAAATAATGTTATGTCTAGGAGTGATCATAGATTGGGGGATGCGTTTGATATGTTGTGTGGCTGCAGTCTGATGGGGAATGTTATAAATGCTTTGTGCTTCGATGTGCATGAGGTGTTGACCTCTAGAGAGTAAATTATAAGTTAGTAGTAAGATCTTTGGGATACGACCTCATTAATTCTTTAACTCGTAGAATCGATAAGTTTTATTGGAAGAATTCTGCAAGCGCACCTATCACAGCTGGGAGGTTAAATAGTTAAAGTGAAAACTGCCATGTCTTGGACCATTACCCCGGTAAGCTATTTAACTCAACTGCGACTCGTGGTTCAGGTTAGTGAGGTAAAGACGGACCACTCCGCTCCAATGTAGTTCGATAGCTGCAGTATATAAAGATGGAGGAGACGTTCAAATGCCGGTTGTATGCCCCCTGCGTATAATAAATGACTGATAACATTTAGCTGTCATTCAAAATCCATATATCTCTTATTATCAAAAACTGGATTATTGGATAATGCAATTCAAGAGTGGCTTAGCCATCACGGTAAATTTAACAATTATTCCACGAGCGCGGGTTGGATATATTAAGAATTGGTGCGGACAGATGCTCGGATACTTGTTCGCGGACATTACCTGTTCCGAGAAGCGAAAAGTTTTCCGAGACCGCAGCACGAAGAAAACTGTGAGCTTTGAGGAACAGACAATGCCCAAGGACAAATATCTGAGCTTATAATCCATCAAATATTTTCGCGCGCGCGATTGGTCTAAACACGTCACGTGACCGAACATTCCCCAACTAAAACTGGGGAATATCCGAGAATATTCCCCAATTTTCAACACTACGCGTGTTGCGAAAAAGATTTGAAGGATAATAAACTCAGTAGCCTCCATTTTGCACGAAAATATGCTCAGATATTTGTTTGGACATTATCTGTTCCTCGAAGCTCATAGTTTTCCACGAGCTACGCTGTCGATGTCCCATTTCAAACCACTAAAATTAGTACACTGCAGAAGTGTACTCTCGCAGCTTGTTATTATTAAGCATAAATAGTGTCAACTACAAAAATTACAGACACTTCTTGGCTAAGTATTCCTGGCTTTGGCAAGAGTTCCCCAGAAATAGCGTTTACATGTCCTTTTTTAATATCTAAGTCAATGTCTGACAGTTCTAAGTGGACTCTCCTAGAAGCTCGCGAGCCTCTTAAGCAAAGTAATGCTGATCTCAGCAGCGCAAAAGACACTCTTGCCCTGATCCGTGACATGGTAATAATAATAATAATAATACTAATAATAATAGTAATAATAATAATAGTAGTAATAATAATAATAACAATAATAATAACAATAATAATAACAAGAAAATAAGTAGATAGATAAATGAATAAGAGATTTAGATTTGTACACACATGTTAAAATTATCCTAGGTTAAGAATGTACAACGTAAAGCTTATTATCTATTTGCAATCATGATAAAGGTATTTAAGACTATATTATATAAATTGATCAAGTAGTGCAGATAACGCACTTTGTGCACGTGCCCTCAATGAAAACATTAAGGTCTCTTTGTCTAATGTTATTTTTAAAATTGTTCAGTGTCGTTCGCTGCCTATCACATGGGTTCAGAGATACGGGCCTGAGAATCTTATTGTCGCGTAAGATGCAACAATTTACTCTGAAAATACGGAAACCTCACTATATTGATGCATGGATCGAATTATGCAACCACCTTGGCTATACACCAAATAGTCTGTAACTTGGAGACTAGTGAATATAAACCCATTGTCTTGGTTAGATCATCTGGGATTTTATCATTAATTGGTTTCTTAACATCAACTGAAATATCCCAAGGACATTGTGAACGAAGGAAAGGTCGAGCTGCGTTTTCTGCGTGAAACCACTCAATGTACATACTAAATGACTTGTTTCACTGGTCATGTTATCTATTCATGCATATTTTTACATGCTTGACGAGTTTTTCTTTGGACTTTGAGCTCATCATCTACAGAGGTCAGAATTTAAGGGAAAGCCTACATGACAGTGCAGAATTATTCATGGATATTTTTTTACATACTTGACGAGTTGTTATTTTGGACTTCGAGCTTACACTCTACCGAGGTTAGCATCGATACATATGGTAACATAACTCAAAAAGAGCTTTTTTTCTCGTGATGACTTTATAATCGCAGGTTGGCGCCGTGGTGTAAGTCAGGGAATCGGAGTCTAATCGAAGGTCCGTTCCAATCCTGACGTGGGAACCTTTTTTTGCCTTCAAGCTACTAAAGGATGGTTTGCGTTTAAAAAGGTAAATAAAAATATTTAACAAATAAAAGTAATACAATTAGATAAAAGAAAAAGTGAGACGACATGGAAATTTGAAATAATTCATGAAACCTTCGCACATGATTTTTGGCAAAGTTTCGCGGTTTGAAGCCGCTGTCAAAGTTATCGATGGATCGAATTATACAACCACTTTTGTTGCATACCAATTTGGAAGCAATTATTCGACTCCAAACGCGAAAGAACAATTTTTCCCTTTGGCAGCCATTCTGTTCACAATTGCCAACCCTCTCGTGAAATATCCTGGTCATCTGAATGACCGGAATTACCACCAAAAAATTGTTCACGACCTATCGAGCGAGTGAATTATTTCTTCCTTTACTAACTGCTATATCTCATTCTAACTACGCTACGCTGGCTATCACTACTCGTGAAAAACAATGACTGAGGCAAGTGCCTCGCCTTGCCTGTTACCAGCTAAGGCCCTAAAAGGTCCATGGTTTTAAACTTTTTGAAGAATTTTGTAACTTTTCTCAATTTCAAGCTGCTTAATGTAGTCTCTGAACAGACTTGTTATGTCCTTGCTATCTTGAATTGACGGATCGAGGAACGTTCAGAGTGTTTTAATTCCCACTTGTTGACGGTTTACTGTGCAAATTAGCTTATCGTCAATCTGTTAATCCTATTTTGTTGTGTAGGGTCAAAACTGCCCCTCAGTTCTCAGTTGACCCTTTCTTTCTATTTGACGCAGTTGTTTGACAAATCCAAAGACTGTTCGCAGCTAAAAATAAAAAGTTACCTTATTTGCAGTTGTTTTATACAAATCCGCTAAGCATTTATAGCAACCCTGACAACGCCAAGCAAAACTGTTCCTGGTTATGACGTACTTTCGGTAAATGACGTCATTCGGACGAGTTTAGCATCCGTCTACATATGGCCATGACGTGCTAAGGAAGTGAACCATAACGAGATGCTCACAGAGATGTGAAAATAGCAGCTAAACAGTGGGGTGAAACCAGACTGACTTGCATTAAAGATAAGCCGGTGTGCAGAAAAAAATTGGACTGATCGGTCGGTATAAGTTCAAGGTAAGAAAGCCAGGCTTTTGGTAATAAATACCTTCTACAATCATAAAGGTATTGTGTGTATCTTAATTACCAAAGCATTAATATACATGAGTTTTAAGTGCACTTTTACGTGTGTAATTGTCTCTCGATAACTTGTGTTCTAGACTGCGATCAACGTACAATATCAATTGCTGATTTTGAATTGATGCCGAGGAATATTTCATTGATATTTAAACTTGGATTTTAACTCTCGTGCTATGATGTTAGTGCAAACAACTGAACAGCGAGCTTTTTGAGGCTCTCAGTTGTAATCAAAGCGTGATAGCTATTTACATTCACTTAAACTATTGTTGTTTGCCAGAGATTATTGTGCGCAGTTTTGCAAGATTAGAAAACTCATTATATAAGCCTCGCTGGAGACAGTGAAATTTTGCTGACTAAGAGCAGCACGGAAGAACATATGTGTGCTTTTCAAAATGTTTCGGTGCGGTTTCGCTTTACCGTAACTAACTATTTTAATCGGCTTTTGTGCGTCTTTTAGACAGATATTAATATCATACGCACAGCATGGAGTATTTTCACAAATCTATATTACCATGACAACGAAGAACAGGAAATCTCTGACTGACTTAAAACAGTCGAATCTGTATGATCCAGACTTCATTTAGACATGATCACTGAAAAAAGGAAACTACGATTAATGACATATAAATCGTAACACACATTTTAAGCGTATATTTTTGTATCAACCGGCAGATATATAAATTATAATTTGACTTTCACTAAATTAGTACATCTATTAATAGCAATTGTCTTATTACATGCTGTCTAATTTGCGAACAACTGGACGAAAAACATTCCAACGACAGCCAAAATTAGACGATGCTCTTGGCCGAGTCCAATTTAACAATCAATTCAAACGATTTTTTTGAATCCAATTATCTGCAAATTGGACCAGGGGGTAGTTGTCGTACTTATCAATTATTTTGCACAGAGAACTGTCCAAATTACTTGTTAATTTGGACACTATCCAAATTGAATTAAGAATCAATTTGAACAGTTTGCATACTCGTACACAAGCTTGGCTGGGATTTTGGGCCAATAGGAAAGTAATCCGCGGTTAACTTGTACAGCATATCAGATCATTTCTCAAATGTTTGCAAATGTTCGTGTTGCACAGCTGCATATATACAACGGTGAGTGAATAAATTTCTCTTACATTGACAAAAGACCTGCATGTTTTATGACCGTCTGATACGTCAGTTAATAGTGATCGAGTTGTGCAATTTACAGATTCTATGGGTTTGGCGGCATTAAAATAGGGAGCTTAAGAATCCACGACGGCGACGCTGAGGACAACGTCGATTGAAACATGATTTTATATTTTACCTAAGAATCTCGTGGCACCCTGAAGTCATTTACTTTGTTTATGACTGTCAAAGCTATCACGAAACTGAATCTAGGACACATCGATAAATTCGAAATAAAATTTAGAAAATTAGCCGTCGTGGTTCACGTTCTCCAGACAACGCAGAATTTGGTCATTTCACGTTGTTGTTTTGCAGAGGACGGCAAAATATGTACAAAGAATTATAATGCACGTTCACAGCCATTGTGTTTAGCGACGTTGCCGTTGCCGTCGTGGTTTTCTTAAGCTCCCTATTATATGTTAAACAACTCTGCAGACGTTGATTGGAAACCTTCTAACTGACTTTTACATACACCATGCCGGCAACTTGGCTATATTTCAGTCCCGGTAAACATAGCAATGCATTCAGCTTCCCTCGAAAGAATTAAAAGGCAAAACGGTCTTGCATGTCAGAAAGAGACCTTATTAATATTATCATGATCAGTTGACGACATTTGTTGTAAGGGAGCTTAAAGCCGACGACAACGGCGACGCCGAGGACGACGCCTAGTCAAAAATGAATTTATATTTTACCAGCGAAATTAGCAATTGTCTAGATCTGTTCAGTACACCTATGGCTCTAAAAACGAGCTTAGGCTAAATATGCAATGACAGCATTCAATTGCAAATGGAAATACAAATATTAGCCGTCGTCGCTCGCGTTCACCAAACTAAGCAGAACTTGATCATTACACGTTCTTGTTTTGCAGAGGATGGTAAAGAAGTGTACAAAGATTTATAACGCACGTGCACAGCTATTGTTTCGCTCATCAAACCTTTTGTTGGTGAGGTTCTCGTTGCCGTCCTCGTCGTGGTTTGCTTAATCTCCCTACTTATCCTGCTCACAGTAGCGTTCTGTTACAAAGATTACAAAAAACTTCCTTATTCGTTGTGGTGGGTAGGTCCGGATGTGATCCTTCACTCAATCCAGATAAAGTAACCTACATATGTATGTAAGGAGGCCTTAGTATTTTCCAATGAAGCATAGCCTGGTATAGTCAAATACGACACATCATTGAGCGCAGATGCCATTCCACGAGCGAAATGTAAACCCACCTTTTAAGACGTTGATTGATGGTGCGTACTTGAGACGTCGTGCACCGAGTCAAAAAAACCTGTGGCATTTCTGAATCACACTTTCTGATCTGGAAAAGTCGGTGAAATTCTAATTGACAATGAGTACTTGAAGCACCGTGCAACAATTCAAAAAAATCTGTGGCATTTCTGAATCACACCTTATGATCCGGGGAGGTCAGTAAAATTCTAATTGATAATGAGTACTTGAGACACCGTGCAACAACTTAAAAGGTATGTGCCCTTTGGAAAACGCCTTTTCAATATGATCTCGAGATGTCTGTCAAGACTGGAAGATTTTCTATCAGTCGAGCAATTTTTTTATCGATCGAAAATTTTTCATCTATTGAGAACATTTTGCGACTAATAAATTTTCATCCATCGAGAATCAACATTAAATAAAACAATTTCAACAGATCTTGAAAAAACCTAATTTGAAACAGTTTCAATATTAGCCTTAGTTAACTCAGGTGCCTGAGAAACTCTTTTTCTGTGCACTAACGCTAGTCACGTTGTTTCTAATCGGTCTAGAAGTTTTTCAGTAAAAAGCAGTCTTAACTGTCTTTTATTAAAAATCAAACAAATAAGACGGATTCCGCTCAAAGTTTGAGCAATAAGTGCAAAAATTATATGCTAAAAATCTACTCATAGCAAGGTAACTTTTGGAATTAATACTATTTAAATCAACTCACTTTAGTTAATTTCTCTAAGTGACCCCGTGATTAAATTCTCAAGCTTTCTCAAGTTAAAGCGAAACCTCGTAAGAATGCTTAAAGCGTGTGTTCTGGTGTTTTTTTAACTAACGCGAAACGTCTGTTTTGATTAAAATATGGATAACTTCAAGTTCAATTTTCTCTCGCGGGGTAAGCTTGAGAGCTTTAGTCTCGATAAGTTCTTCGATTTTTCTTTACTGTGTTCCAAATATTACCATGCTATGAGGTTTTCCTGGTAACTTAATTTTTGCCATTATTGTTCTTAATGCCTAGTAAAAGTCTGTTCTGTGCTTCAGTTGGATTACGTAGTTTTTTATCGGCGGCGAGAAATTAAAAAAAAATTCCGACTGCCTTATTATATACTATATTTGGAAACTTCTGAGATTTTTTCAAGGTTGCAGCAAGCTCTTACTGAATTGTTACCGCAACAAAACAGATATACAAGCTGCGACTCACCAAAAGAAACTTCCAGATTTGGCCCATAAAGTGTGACACAAATGAATTTTAATCTTTAAAACAGACCCTATTCATGTCTCTCTTCTCTGGACTGTGATTGATGGGTACCATTGATTACTCCAAGTGACTAGCTAGTGGATTATTTGGTTTGAAGTCTGACATTATAGCATACCTGAAATCTTCCTTTGAAAATTCCTGAGTTCATCTGCTACAAAACGTCGCTGATGCGTGAGTTTGCTCCATTCACCTCCTACCCTTCTTGAACAGTTATCTGACTAACCTGGATGGTGTACTTGAAGACAATTTCTCTATAGAAAACACTTCGATTGTTCCTAATCCTCATTTAATCGATGATTCCTGTTAAACAAACAGAACAAAAGGACATCGCTTCAACTCTTTGTGGCCGATTCTGATCGTCTTTTCTCTAGACTCAAACCAGTGCATTTCACGGAAATAGAGCTTTTAGACGAAAGTTTTTACGTCAGACAAAATTCCCCATTCATTAGCTCAGTGGAATTCCACGAGTTCTTCGTACAGAACAAAAATAACATAATACGATAAATCCCTTCAATGGTTGGACAGGCGGGCATATAAAACCACGCACCCTTGACTCTTCAAACTGATTACCTCAACAATTTAAACAATTGTTGAGCATAGAAATAGACACAGAACAGTTTATGATGACGGACAATATGGAAGGACATCATGTGATCCCACGCACGTTCGCTTGAATTTTAAACAGCGAACTTCTAACTGAGGGCAAATTTTCTCCTTGTGCAATACCGTGGCGTAAGTATGCTTCATATGTTTTTCAAATGGCGTATAAACTTAGGGATTTCATGACCGACACACTAAACACTTCTGAACTTGTTCTGCTATTCGTAAGACAAGCAAGACCGCGAGTTAATCACTAGAACCAGTGACACTGGAACCTGTTCAGACCTGACCAAGTCTGCCGCGGCAGCAACAACGTGGAAAACGATCGCTTTTGTTTTACAAGGATTGTACAAAGGCTTTCTTTTATATAAATCTTGGTACATTATTTCACCATGTGAAACCACAACAATGAAGTGAAAATGATTAAATTCTGGGTTTAGGGCGGACGTGACTTGGAGGCAAACTTTACATGCATGGTCCTGCTTCAGCAGACATGGGATAATCTGACCCTGAAAGATAATTACCAGACAGATTGAACCAAACTGAAACACTGTAATGTTGTACTGGATCATAGAATCTAAATCTTTTCTTTCGACAACGTAACTGATTTTCACGATTTCGTTGGGTGCACACACTTTGCTCTCCTGCCCTTTTTTTTTTCTTTTGGAGTATAGTCTCAAAAATGACTCAATGAACTTGTGCTTTCTGAACTA